GAGCAGTCACGGAGGTTAGCGGGCTCCGTCGAGTCAGGCGCTTTGCCAGAGGCCCGAGTACGCCGTACAGACACCATGCGGTCTAGTTCACCAGTCACAAGACGTGTTCCGTGTTGATGGATTCCCGCAACCAGGTCCACTCCCCTAGGGATGTTGTGATTGTTGAATCATTCACTTTCTACCTGATCAACTGCTCCTTGATTTCGGCGATCTTCATCCTTGGATTATCTTTGAGGATTCCTGTTAGCTGACTCATATCTCATTCATTGAGTTTTTGGGGCCTGCCACTTCTGGCAGCTGTTACGGTGGTCCCACAAGCCCTTGTTCTTGTGATTATTGATGAGAAAGTTGTAACTTGTTCCGCTCTTTCCAAGCTTGGCCCCAATGGCTGTAGGTGTCATCCCTCCTTCGGCCATACCAGTGAGAAGAGATTTTTGTTTGTTGGAGGTGTGCGGGTCCAAACCATCTGAAGGATATAAAAAAAGAATGTTAACCATAGATAAAAAAGGGTCTTACTTGAACAACTCCCAGAAATTGGAGCTCCCAAGACCCCAAAATTGGGAGTCAGACCTCCAAATCCTTGAAAAAGTTTGGGAGTCAACCTCCTCATGTAAAAAAAAAGATAAAAACTCTTGCCGGTCAAGAGGAATCCCTCTTGGCTGTTTTGAGCATACACCCTCAGTAGCTACACGTTGTGGGATGCTTTATGGTATACCATATCCCCAAAATAAATTTTTTTATTCATTTCCTCTTTCTTACTCTATTTTCTTCTCTATTTTCTTTATAGTTATCACTTCATATTTTTATATATTCACACTCTACAGCTCAAAATACCCTTACGAGCCACTCATGGTTTATGCATATCTCTACTCTCTCACACTTTACATCATTACTGGCACTAACACCCTGCATTTACAACACTCAAGGATACATGGACAGGACATCACATGCACAGACATACACACAGGCAAGGAAGGACTGGCCTGCATGACCCGTACAAAAGTATACATGCAGGCACAGCCGCTTGCATGAGTGGCTGATTATCGCCTAGAAACTGCATATTACATCATCAACATCAAGTACACAACCCTGCAGAACACGCATTGAGGTCTGACCAATCACAAGCAGTCATTCAGCCTGCAGGGGAACTTACACCGTGCTGTACAATTCCAACCAATCACATTCAACCCTTCAACATATGTATTTCTCATGTACCTAGTCACAATACCTCATGCAGTGCCCCCCTTGGGGCTAAAATATCTCACTCTTGTCTATATAAGGAGGCTCTCCTCCCCCCCAGTTGTATCTTTTTTTTCTTTCCTCAGCAGAGTACTGCACCAGTGTTTCCCCTATAACATTACAAACCTGCTCACCATTATTATACCCTCTTACAATTCTACTTACATATTTAACAACCCTTTTTTTTGAACTACCAATTATTACACAACTCTCAACAAACATATAAATACCACCCCTTATTTTTGGAGCCCCTTCATCCAACTTGCACCTGGTTGAAGCCTTGGCCCTTTTATTACATATACTTACATACAAATACCTCACTTGATACATCAATCCACTGGTCAGACAACAGTTATCTTTTGATAACACTCCACTATCACTATATAAACCTGCCAATCTGAGATTGGTGGGCTTGTTTTAGTGTCTAGTGAACCAGGAAAGGCAGAGGTAACCTCATACATCCCTTTCCGCACTCAGCAA